CCCTACTCATACCGATTTCCTGGTTACCAATCGATACAAACATTCTTCGACACCGTCGATGATTTCCCTGGGCCCAGATGCGGCCACACTCTGACGGCGGTTGGCCACCGTCTAATCCTCTTCGGAGGTATCACTGCCGTCCGGAGCGATGGCTCAACTTTACCGGGAATCAGTAATAATCCCCGATTTTGAGTTTTTTTTGAAATTCTAGGGTTTTGGGTTTTCGTAATCGACTCTGATTCATTGGGTTTTCTCTAGGTTTGCAAGGAGTTACGAACGCTGTTCACTCTTTCAATATCTTAACCAGGAAATGGACAAGGTAAATTGAGGATTTTTAAATGTTTGGTTTTTAATTAGGGTTTTTTTTAATTGAGGATCTGAGTTGGTTTAATGGTGGATCTGTTTGTTTTATTCCGTAATTGTGCAGGGTTTGTCCCGTTGGTGAGCCTCCATCTCCCAGGGTTGGTCATGCAGCTGCTGCAATTGGCAACAGGGTCTTTATTCAGGTGATTCAAATGAACCATGAATTTGGAATGGTTTTGTTTAAACTTTATTGTTAAAAGCACATTTCCTTGTTCGGTTTCATGTAAGATCTTTATTCAGGTGATTGAAATGATCTATTAATCGGATTATTCAATTGTGATTATGCGAAACATATATTTGGAATGATTTTGTTTTAACTTTATTGTCAAAGCATGTTTTGATGAACATTTTGGTTGCTGTTTGTGTAGAGTCTACACCATATCTGACACTTGAGCATGTTGTTTTGTTTGGTTCAGGGTGGGATTGGTCCAGCCGGGTCTTCTAACGGAGATCTCTACATACTCGACGTGACTGGTGATAGGTTCGAGTGGCAAAGGTGAGGTCGTTTATGGATTTCTCTTTGTTATCTACTTTATTAATCGATGTTTTTCTTCGTTTATGGATTTCTCTTCAGGGTGTTGGTCCGAGGGAACGTTCCAGCTCCAGGCCCTCGCTATGGCCATGTAATGGGTTTAGTTGATCACAGGCTTGTCATATTCGGCGGAAAAATTGGTACGAATATCTTTGTTTTCCGCTTTGGTTTGGCATTTGATTCCCTCCTTGCTCTGCTTTTCGTAGCTGTAGCTTCAGTTTTGTCTGTTTATCTTAGCATACATTATATAGTACAAGCATGAGTAAGAAAACATTAAGATGATATGTTTCCATCAGAGAGGAAATTTTCTCAAACAAATCCCTAATCTACCAACTAGAGTTTATTATACGGCTTTGAACTTTTACGTATTTGGCATTTAGTAATTATGCTGGCAAAAATTTCCTTTTTCCTCGAACAATATTGCAATTATGTTTTCTTGGAAGGA